CTGTTGAATGGAAAAAAAAAAAGGATTGGACAAAGGAAAAAAAGGGGAAAAAAAAGAAGAATCTCAAGGATGTTGGAGATTCTGTGAGTGTTGGAGTCACCGAAAGTACTGACATCAGAGCTCCTTTGTGCCTTGTTACTTTACTGGTGTTGGTTGTTTAAATGGGGATTCATTTAAAAATAAAAAATAAATATATATATATAGAAACTGTACATATGTTGACAACTATATATATGTATATATAAATGTGTAAATATTCATATACATATATATTCACTGAAATGATTACATATATACATACATACGCACATATATGTGTGTATATATTTATATATGAGCCATATAATTAATCATGTAGGTCCCCTTGAAAATCTTTATAATCAGACACAGTGAGACATGAATAAAGATGAGTGATGAATGGGATAACATTAAGTCCAGGAGGAGCAGCAGCAGCAGCAGCAGCAGCAGCAGCAGCAGCAGCAGCAGCTTATTAAACAGGACTGAAATAGAAACAGCCTTGTCCTAAAGACAAATGAAAACACCGCACTATCTTTAAAGCGTTTCAATCCTCCAGAGACGGGTCCACTACCTTCTCCAGCTGTGCGTTCTGTTTGGACTTGTAAAGGACCTCCCCCACAGCCACAAACACGGACAGCACCAGCCCGGCGGCCAGCACGATGAAGATGCCGCCGATGTTCTGCACCCCCAGCGCGCTGGCCTCTTTGCTCTCCTCTTCAGGACAGCCGTTCCCTCTCCACCACTTCTCCTTCATCATGTGGAGCTTCCCTTCCTCCTGCAGCTGCAGAATGGCTATTGTGATTTTGTCTCTGTACGGAGAGCCTGCAGGGTGAAAACACAATGTGAGACGCGGCGACCAGGAATAACTGTGAAATATGTTTAAAAAAACCAAAAAAAAAAAAAAAAAACCCCAAGGACGGCAGCAAAGTCATTGTCTTTTATGAATGGGTATTTCACCGTACATTTGTACAGACGCACACACACACACACACACACAGGAGCTGTATAAGGGAAGATGAAATACACCCCAGTGTTCACTGTTACATAGTTTATAAATGCAGCAGGACGAAGTTTGAACCTAAAAACAGCCTAATAGGCCTGTAATTCATGGACACAGACGTCAGGAACAGTTCTCGGTCCTGAGGGAGAACTTACAGAACCATCTTTGATCAATGACTGCTCTGTTATTTTTAGTCCAGTGATTCTTTTTCTCAATGATGGTGTCAGATCCTTTGGGAATAACCTTCAGTTTTTGTCCCAACACCTACAAGTTCACTAATATCTCAATCCTTAATCAAATACAAATATTACATTTATTTTTCTTTAAACTCAAAATATATGAACTATTACCCAAAAGTAAGACGACCTTAGGCCCGGAAAAAGAGAGAAAAATATAGAGGTAATAATTTTATGATATATTATGTTTAATATACATATTATATTTTATTAACAAAACTAAGCAAGAACCAATGTGTTCAGCGATAAAATAGAAATCCCAGTTGGATCACACTCAAGTTCTAAGTTAAGTGTTAGAAGATTTTTTTTCCCCCTTTTTAACAGAAAAAAAAAAGAAAATCTGGATCAGACCCAGACTCAGAGTGCGCAGCTGTCTGCCTCCAGGGGGCAGTGAAGGGCAAAACATCCTGTTACAACACTACAATCCTTTTTCCTCTGTCAGAGCAGCTGTTTCATTCCAGTACCAGTATGGAGGCAGCATTAGCACCAGAATCACTGAAGAACCAAGAAACTTATAAAAAAAAATGTGGGCAATCCTTTTTGGAAAGAAATAAAAAATATATAAATCAGGTCTTGTACAGGATCTAGAGATTTATCAACCGTTGGTAAAGGATTTATCAGATAGGTATCAAAAACAAATGGACCAACCACAAAGAACTTTCACAGAAGGTCCAAAGAAAAGGCTGAATTATATTATTTCAAAAATAAAATTACAAAAAATAAGAAAACAAATAAAATTAGTATTAATTAAAATACAAATATAATAGTCTATTACACGAGCGTAATAACAAATATTATTATTTGCCTGAGCCATTTACAAAAAACAACCAAGAACCACTGGAACAGCCAGTGGTGGGAGTTGGTTTGTGCTCCGTGGAGCAGCACAGTAAAATCCAAACACTCAAATCTCCTGCAGAGGAAGTGAGTCAGGAATCAAACAACATTTAAAGAACAGTTTTGGGACGTTCTTCAGGGGCCTTAGAGAAACGTTCTCCATAACAGAAAAATACATAACCTTCTGTTAAAAAATGTTAAAATTGTAAAAACTCAATTATCTTCTTTTAGGAGGAAATTGATGATTTACTCTTGTTGTTTACATGTATTGTTATTTGACAATTAGGCTCATGTCACAGTTTTAATTCATTAAAAAAACAAAAAAAAAAAACAACCACGCAGCAACATTGCTGTATACGCTTTTATAAGCCCTAGTGGTGGGAGTGTGAAACATATGTGCTCATATAACTGGTCATGTCTCTGTTGGCTTCATACAGCCAGTTATTTTGGTGAGTCCCACTTCAAATCCCACTAATCCCTGCATTCACACAGTGAGTCTCAAATCGCTGCTCTCCACAGTGTGTGAATTATAACACGCCAGGACTTGGCAACAAAGAAGTGGCTCTTGTAAATCCGAGCTGCGGCGGCTGCTGCTGCTGCTAACTATGATGAAGCTGCTGTTTGCACACACACACACACACACACACACACCCGCCTGTAAACAGGCGAAACAGTTCAGCTCAGCGGGGTGGAAGTCAGAAATCTGTGGGATTATATGTGTATTTTCAAGATATGTGGGGTTTTTATGGGTGTGTTTTTTGTTTTTATTTTTCTGACATGCATGTTAATGTCACGTTTGCTGGAGTTAGCGAGGAAACATTAAACACAGCGGGTGCAGAAGAGGTTTCTACTGAAATCGTTTTTCGCTCTTGCTGTTATTTAGAAGCAGCGATGACGTTTGTTTACAGAGGTTGTAGAGAAATAATTTCTCAAACCTGGGAACACTTTGTACCAAAGCTCTTGGTGACACAACCCTAATGTCTCGTCGCTCCTCCGTACTTCATCTGCAGTGCTACAGTTCTGCCGTCAGCTGCTTGACTTGATTTCAATTCCGTCTCATATATAATTTATCCACTGCCATGAATCCTGCTTTTATTTTGTGATAAGCGGCATATTTACACTCACAAAAAAGGAATTCACTAAGTTGATGAGACATTACTGATTTTTTTTTTTAACAAACCTCACCCACTTTCACTGCTGTCGTCCAGTAATAGTCGCTCAGATTGGATTCAGGAGCAGGAGTTTGACCTGGACTTGACAGATGACTCAAACCTCTTCTTCTCTGACCTACGTTCAGCCTTAGTAAAAACTCCACTCAAACTTGTTTTGACCTTGTCTCACCAGGAACTTGAGTCCAACTCCACCAGAACTTTTTTCTGTGCTCTGTGAATAGGCCTCGACCTGAACTTTTCTTTGACTCTTCTTTGATTCTTGTTTTGGAAACTAGGACTGACAACCATTAGACTCCAGACTCGGTACCTCAACCCCTGTGGACCTGGACCAGTCTAACAGTCTAAGCCTAGGATCTTGAAGTGACTTTGATTTATCAACAAATACAATATTCATTCAGCGATTTTGATAACAGTCAGTTATAATGTGAATTGTGTGGGGAAGTCTTGTCATCTTTGGAAACAACTTCCTGTACCAAACGACCGGCATAAACAGTTCTGTGGAGGAGCACGTGTTCCTGTTAAGGAGATAAGTGGAGCTCCTTAACACGGGCATGTGAAAAGCATATGCCTGCTCCATTTGAAGATAAGGGATCAAGTCGTTCTGACTCCCCTGATCCGAGCTCCCCCATCATAATTCCAATGATTAATGATGGCCTAACAAAAGAGGCCTCAGATAAATGCTAATAGGACGAGTCCTTCGAGAGAAGGATACGGATAGCGAGGCCTCGGCGAACGGAGGGAGCTCAGTGGACGGACGTGCCGTGCATACACAACTACCTGACAGATGTTCAACAGCAGAGGACATCCATCACTCCCCCTCCTACACTGTCTGCTCTCAAGTATTAATGTGATCACAGTTTAAGTCGATGGCTGTAGATGACGCATCTGCGATCTGGGGAACAGGACGTGTGAAAACCGACAAGCGCTAAACGGTTTGGTCTTATTATGCAGCTGGCTGTGGGTTATTGCTGCAACAGCTCCACTGGGACCCAGTCGCTAAACAGTACTCAGTAGAGCTAAAGTTATTGGCTAAAGGTTGACGTGCAGATGAAGGTCTTCACACTGATGGGGACAAGAACATGAGAAAGAACGCCGTCTGGGGAACGAAGGAATCTTTCTCTGAAAAGAACAAAGAAAACAGAGCTGACTCTGAACATCTACAGTCATCAGCTCCGGCTCTAACTTTCTGAGGCTACAATCTAAACTTCTAGAAAGTACCGAGCAGGGAGTGTGAAAATAACTTTAAATCATTGCTTCTGCTTTAAATTATTACTTTTCCAAGACTTTTAATGTTAACTTCATGAGATTAAAGCTCGACGGATCCAAGACTTTCAATATTAACGTCACGAGATTAAAGCTGCACGAAAATGTTTTGTGAAGTCAGAAACACGGTATCCATCCACACATTCTACCTACAACCAATTGACCTCTGAACAAGCGGTATCCATCCACACATTCTACCTACAAACAAGTCAGGATCCAAGTACTGGACTGGTCGTGATGCACTGTTACACTGTAGTGTGTTTTTTGTTTTTATTTTTCTGACATGCATGTTAATGTCACGTTTGCTGGAGTTAGTGAGGAAACATTAAACACAGCGGGTGCAGAATGTGTTTCTACTGAAATCAATTTTCGCTCTTGCTGTTATTTAGAAGCAGCGATGACGTTTGTTTACAGAGGTTGTAGAGAAATAATTTCTCAAACCTGGGAACACTTTGTACCAAAGCTCTTGGTGACACAACCCTAATCTCTCGTCGCTCCTCCGTACTTCATCTGCAGTGCTACAGTTCTGCCGTCAGCTGCTTGACTTGATTTCAATTCCATCTCATATATAATTTATCCACTGCCATGAATCCTGCTTTTATTTTGTGATAAGCGGCATATTTACACTCACAAAAAAGGAACAAACCTCACCCACTTTCACTGCTGTCGTCCAGTAATAGTCGCTCAGATTGGATTCAGGAGCAGGAGTTTGACCTGGACTTGACAGATGACTCAAACCTCTTCTTCTCTGACCTACGTTCAGCCTTAGTAAAAACTCCACTCAAACTTGTTTTGACCTTGTCTCACCAGGAACTTGAGTCCAACTCCACCAGAACTTTTTTCTGTGCTCTGTGAATAGGCCTCGACCTGAACTTTTCTTTGACTCTTCTTTGATTCTTGTTTTGGAAACTAGGACTGACAACCATTAGACTCCAGACTCGGTACCTCAACCCCTGTGGACCTGGACCAGTCTAACAGTCTAAGCCTAGGATATTGAAGTGACTTTGATTTATCAACAAATACAATATTCATTCAGCGATTTTGATAACAGTCAGTTATAATGTGAATTGTGTGGGGAAGGCTTGTCATCTTTGGAAACAACTTCCTGTACAAACGACCGGCATAAACAGTTCTGTGGAGGAGCACGTGTTCCTGTTAAGGAGATAAGTGGAGCTCCTTAACACGGGCATGTGAAAAGCATATGCCTGCTCCATTTGAAGATAAGGGATCAAGTCGTTCTGACTCCCCTGATCCGAGCTCCCCCATCATAATTCCAATGATTAATGATGGCCTAACAAAAGAGGCCTCAGATAAATGCTAATAGGACGAGTCCTTCGAGAGAAGGATACGGATAGCGAGGCCTCGGCGAACGGAGGGAGCTCAGTGGACGGACGTGCCGTGCATACACAACTACCTGACAGATGTTCAACAGCAGAGGACATCCATCACTCCCCCTCCTACACTGTCTGCTCTCAAGTATTAATGTGATCACAGTTTAAGTCGATGGCTGTAGATGACGCATCTGCGATCTGGGGAACAGGACGTGTGAAAACCGACAAGCGCTAAACGGTTTGGTCTTATTATGCAGCTGGCTGTGGGTTATTGCTGCAACAGCTCCACTGGGACCCAGTCGCTAAACAGTACTGAGTAGAGCTAAAGTTATTGGCTAAAGGTTGACGTGCAGATGAAGGTCTTCACACTGATGGGGACAAGAACATGAGAAAGAACGCCATCTGGGGAACGAAAAAATCTTTCTCTGAAAAGAACAAAGAAAACAGAGCTGACTCTGAACATCTACAGTCATCAGCTCCGGCTCTAACTTTCTGAGGCTACAATCTAAACTTCCAGAAAGTACCGAGCAGGGAGTGTGAAAATAACTTTAAATTATTACTTTTCCAAGACTTTTAATGTTAACTTCATGAGATTAAAGCTCGACGGATATGTTTTGTGAAGTCAGAAACACGGTATCCATCCACACATTCTACCTACAAACAAGTCAGGATCCAAGTACTGGACTGGTCGTGATGCACTGTTACACTGTACTGCAGCACAATTTAAAGAAAAAAAAATTAAAGTTCAGATTGGTACTCTGGGTCTGTGTCCATCTCAAGGGCATCAGTGTGAGTGCATCGGCACTTACAGAGCCGCGCTGGGACCATATTTCACGGCATCCGCTCGTCTTTGTTACAGCCGCCGCAATCGTAGCATCTCTGAAGATCTATAACTGCCTCGTACTCATCAGCCACAGCCCACTCCAGATGTGGATGGACAGAATTAATCCTCTACATTTTGATGGCCTTCATATCACAGGTGATAAATGTGGCCATTACAGTAGGTCACAGTGTTCTCCCTGGCCTCCTCGTGACTGCTCTCACCCCCCCGACACCAGGATCGGAGCCATCACCAGTTTTATCAACCTCGTGACTGCTCTCACCCCCCCGACATCAACAGCTCACAGCCAGGGGTCGCTGGAAGGACCACATTCATGAGGTGTGAGGTTACAGGCCCCTAAAACATGCTACATTATTTAGACTAAATCCATGATATAGTTTAGTGAAAACTGCAGTTTAGAGGAAAGCATCCACTCTGTCATTAGAGTGACATGAGTGCTGCCCTCTGTCTGTATGTTCCAAATATTTGCTTTTGTTTTGACAGTGAAAAAATCAATTGACAGGATTTTCATTAAATGTTTTTTTTAACTTGACTATAAAAGAATATGTGGAGAAAATCATTATGGCTAAATGAAACAGTTTGACGCCTGAATATTTTCAGCCTTGGCGACATTTTAACCTTATCCATAAATCCCACCTGTTCATCCCTGCGCCTTTCATCAGGCCAAACCTTTTTACACTCCGTCCGACCATTACAACCGTGGCCCCATCAATAGAGGTCAACCTTTCCATTCTTCGAGCGTATCCATCATCCACACCACACACTGTTCATCTGTCACCCTGTTCCCCAAGTGTTTCTCTGCGACTTAAGGCCATTCAAACCGTTGACAACACGACAGGCACCGCGGGGAGCCGGGCCGAGGTTGGAGGTCATTTACCCATGGGCGTTCCCACTCCGTAGGCCTTAGAGTCGATGAGGTCACCAATCTGAGTGAGGTTACAGTTGCGCTGGGTGACAAACTCGATGGTGGTGGACTCCATGAGGAAGGCGTAGTCGGAGGTGAGGACACGCTGGATGCCCTCCTCCACGTCCTTCACCATCACAGACTGCCTCCTGCTGTTCATGAACTCCCACATCTTGTCGTAGGTGGAGATTTTGGTCTTCTGCAGGTCGACAGATCAGAAGAAGAAGTTAGTTTATGAACACTTTACTGCATTTGAAGAAAAAAACATTTTATTTTTTAGGATTTCTGTTTGGAAGAAAACAAAGTGAGGTGTGTGACAGGACTAGCAAAAACATTTTTACTTTGTATATTTTATTTTTTGCTTGATATGCAGTATTAGATTAAAATAAAACAATAGTCTTGTACCATTGCAGTCAGCTCATAGACCAGGGCACTTTGCTGAATATATAGCCCCCCCTGCAGGGCTGAGAGGCAAAGCTAATTGCTAGGTATAGTACTATACATTTTTTATGCACTTAGCTGACATTTTTATTCAAAACGACTTACATGAGGAGGACTAATTATATGGTTCCACTGGGCCTCGAACCCAGGACCTTATGTGTGTAAGGCAGATGTGTATGACAGGTGTGAAAAACGCAACACCATAGAACTATCAGAGCTTTAAAATAACACTGAATGATCATTTAGTTCAAATGTGTTTTAAATATCGTCGTACTGTAACAATGGTTGTCTGTAAATGGTAGGAACGATTCAGCTCCGCCTGTAGCTGCCTAATTACATTAAGATAATTATAACCTTGAGGTAAATAACATTAAATCAAGCACACTGAACTTAGCAGTTCTCTTGAATTTCTGTCCTTCTTTTTAACTTTTTTTTTTTTTTCATTTCTACTCACAGAAAAACACGATGCAAATTTCACAGCTTCAAAAATCAAACCTGTGAAAAAAAACACAGTTGTTGTCTTTGGTTTTTCTCTGACGGGGAGGAGCAGCTCCAAATTGTCAGATGAGGAATCTGGAGATGAACAACTCCAGCCTCCCAACAAACAAGGAGACGTGCGCCTCAGCTCAGCAGGGAGCTTTGTGTGAAAAACATCCTGCACCGTATGCAGAACACAATCAGACGCAAGCTGCAATTATTACTGACTAATCTCCTGATTAAAACAACATGACTTTGTCTGAATGAACTCCAAAAAAAAAAAAAAAACAGAAAAAAAAAACGCCGCTACTTGTTGTAGTAACAGTAGGAACTGATTGCCTCGTCTCCAAATTGTCACGTGAAATAAAAAAAAACGACAGAAAACGCCTCAGTCTTTTTACTCTGGTTTCACGCCCAGGTACCTTGAAGAAGGTCATGGTGGCCCCGTCCTCCACCACGCCGTACAGGATTTTGGTCTGTTTGGCCAAGTCGTCGGCTGAGTCTATGGGCGACTCCATCCTCTCCACGGTGAGAAAAGCAGCCAGGTTGGCCGTGTAGGAGGAGATGATGATGAGGGTGAAGAACCACCAGATTCCTCCCACTATCCGAGTGGAGAGGGCCTTGGGCATGAGCTCTGAGCCTGGTGTGAGGGAGGTGGCAGGAGAGAGTTAGACTGCATTCAGCTCAGCCAACTTCATGCTCATCTTGTATTTTTAGCCGTCTACTGTTTGTGAACCAAACACACACAAAGGGTTCATTCTCTTTGAACAACATCGTTTTAAGAACCCTCTTCAAGTCTGTCGCCGAGGCAGGTGCGCCTCAGGGCTTCAAGTCGTAATCACTTGCGAGAGAGCTCCTAAAACAAGAAGATTGTTGGGTTTCAGATAAATTAAATTACCCCTCCACGTCTCAGTCACAAGTGGTGCTTTAAATAATGTAGGAGATGCGAAGAGGGGCTATTTAGAATTCCCTCTGAAAAAAGGGGGGGTGGTGTCAATCAATCCAATCAAATAAATCACAGTCAACATCGATGAGAGGAGTGACAGACTGTTTGGACCAGAGAGTCATGTACTCAAGGTAACCTCACGTCCTGTCTCCACAACCCACTGATCTCTGGGTGCTGACGGGCCAAGGGCAAGAGGAGAGGATGATGGGAGATGTAATTAGAAGCAGGTACTGCAAACCCCATTTCCTGATAAGAAAGTACACTTTCAAAAAATGCAATAAAACCTAAAACCTGTAATTTGGTAATGTTCTTCAACCTCAATTTATCAGACAGGAAGACAAAAACAAAAAGACTTTTGGTGTTTTCACGGACAAACGCCACTCTTTTTGTTCGACAGTTTAGAAAATAATGACTGCACATCTAAAAAAAAGCCGTATCTGCCCATCACCTGCTGTATAATCTACCCTCGGATGCAGCCCTGCCCCCGTGTCACGAGTCTTTCCTGAACCTTTCACAGTATTCTGACATGCAGATATGGGTCGTGCTACATTCTTTGCTGAGAAGTGACAAACGAGATAAGACGTCTCCTCACCTTCAGAGATCAAGTCTGAAGAACCTCACTTCTGTGACCTTTTAAGTTTGACTTTTAATAAATAGACTTGAAAGTATCACCAAATTGAAGGTGGGTGTATTAATGTCATTTTCTGACGCTGAATGTGGAAACTGGGTTTTTTATAGTTTGAAGTGAGAATTCTAAAAATCTTTTCCCTTTTCAAACCTCAGGAACTCAGGAGTTTTGGTGGGTGTATTAATGTCATTTTCTGACACTGAATGTGGAAATCTTTTCCCTTTTCAAACCTCACGAACTCAGGTTTTTTTTTGTTTTGTTTTTGTTTTTCGTACATTATTTTTAGCATAGTTGATTAAATTAAATCCTATTAAATGCAAATGTATTCCAAAACAACATTCGGACCCCCAGGGGCCTCTACCTCTTGCCACCGGCACATGTGAAACTAGACCCATCCTCCCAGAGACAGTGGGGCAGAGAGAGCGTTCACAGCCACAGGCTGAGGCAACTACCTTGCTGCATGAGAGCCCCAACTCCAAACCAGAAACTATTGAGCAGCGTAAAATTGTTTTCCACTACATCCGAGTCGGGGTTGCATGGATGGGGGTTGTACCACTCGTAGGGGCTGAACCTAAAAAAGGAGGGAGAGAGACAGAGAGACAAGTCAGTGTGGAGCCACGAATTCATGAGATCAAGCAGGAGATAAAACAACATTGGATTGAAGAAGAAGAAGAAGAAGAAGAAGAAGAAGAAGAAAACGAACATGAACAAAGAGAATGCTAATGTGCAGGAATCTGGTGTTATGGCCCCAGGGTCGGTGTCTGCAGAGACCAAAGCAAATCATTCAAGCTTTTGCCCAGATCAACATATTGGCATATTCAAATGCCATCAGTTTATTGTGAGAACGGATCAATAGGCTGGGATAACACTGTCACTGGTGATAATGTCCTGCTACGTGATGATCTTTGGAGCTCATTGGGATTCACTGACTCAGGATCTGCCGCCTGTTTTCTTCCCCTCCAGCAACTGCAATCAGCACATCCTCCGAACACCAGTGAAATGTGAAGTTTCTTGTTTTTTTCCCCCTCATCTGTATTCTCTGTTCTGTTTCTGATGCTGCTCCGTTCTAATCCCAGCGAACGACATCCGGCTCGTCCTCAAAGAAAATAATGGTGCCGTTAACCGCTGCTGTTTTTCTCAGAAATAAGGGACAAAATGTGGATTTTCTTCTTAAACCAACACGTGTAACAGCCCACGAAACGCTTCTTAAAAACAGAAAAATTAGAGTTTCAATAACCCTAACGTAGCACGGTGAATGAAAAGAATTTCAAGATAGATGATTTGCAGTCAGTTTTGCAGCCCTTAAAAATGACAAACGGTAAGTGGTCTGTACTTATGCAGCAATTTTCTAGGCCTGCTGACGACTTGAAACCACAGGTTTTTTCATCTACTTACAGACGCTCTGGTGGGAGTGGGAGGGGTGGTGGTATACACTGTTACTGGCCAGGTCTGGAATCACACCCACAACTGCACTAGCTCCTGAGTGATTCACACCCGTCCACTATTCCTGGAGGCTAATGTTTTTTTCTGAAGAGCCTTGGAATTTGTCACAATAAAAACAGAGGTTTCAAAACAACCCCCACCCCTCCCTCTTCTCCCTCCATCC